TGTCTGTCTGTCTGTCTCCAGGTCCAGTGTTGGGTTCAGGTGCATTCGGTCGTGTGGTTGAGGGAACCGTCTCTGGTCTGCTTCACTCTCACTCTTCAACTAAAGTCGCCATAAAGATGGTCAAACGTACGTACCTGTCTGTCTCTGTCTCTCTGTCTGTCTCTCTGTCTGTCTGATTGTCTGTCTGACTGTGACTCTGTGATCTTCTGAAAGTCAAACGATTTCTCTCCTGATGTCAGCATGTTCCAGTGAACCAGTCTGATTGGTTATTGGTTATTGGTAATTGATTATTGATTATTGATTATTGATACTGTGTGTGTGTTCAGCCAGCAGCGGTGCCGTTCAGTCTCTGATGTCGGAGTTGAAGGTTTTGGTTCATCTCGGTCCTCACCTGAATGTCGTCAACCTGCTGGGAGCGTGCACGGGAGGAGGTTTACAGTTTGATCCTGACTTAATCCTATACTAGTTTTAAACTAACCCTAACTAATAATAAACTTATAATAAACTAACAATAAACTAACAATAAACTAACAATAAACTGATAATAAACTAAAAATAAACTGATAATAAACTAACCCAAAACTAATAATAAACTAACAATAAACTAATAATAAAGTAACTAAACTAACCTATTAGTCAGAGCTAACAGCGCTAACAGAGTAGTACTGCAGCCAGCCACCAGGGGGCGAGAGAGGGCTACTGGAGAGCTGTGGATGTACATTGAATATTCTCTAATGAGTTAATGAACTAACCAACTGTTGCACACAGGGAGACGCCACCTGCTGGACACAGAGAACTGCAGCTCACCATACGGGACACACTGACTGTCTGTCTGCCTGTCTGCCTGTCTGTCTGTTCGTCCAGGTCCTGTCTATCTGATCACTGAGTTCTGTCGTCATGGAGACCTTGTGAACTATCTACAGAGGAACAAACACACCTTCTTACAAAGCGACGCACACACCAAGAGGTCAACGCACGCACGCACACACACAGTATATCCTGTCTGTCTGTCTGTCTGTCTGTCTGTCTGTCTGTCTTTCAGTTTCAGGTTACTGTTGTTTAGATTTATTTCTAAGACAAACAAACATTATGAAACAGCAGTAACCATGTTAGTTAGTTTTTGTGTTAGAATGTTTACTGGGGCTTGTGATTGAACAAATATGTACACATTTATGACATTAATAAACAACAACAACAACAACAACAACAGTCAGTGTGTGTCACACTGGGTTTTCTGTGTACACTTCCTGTCCCCCATCAGCAGCAGGTCTGTCTATAAGGACCGGTCTCTAGGTCCAGGCTGTGACCACTGAGTCTGTACGTTGTCACTGTGGTCTGTTTAGGGACAAATAAAACTCCATTTTACTCTCCCTCTGTGTACATTGAGTGTGAGTGTCTCTCGCCCTGCAGTGACAGTGATGGAGGTTACATGGACATGAATAAAGAGGAGAGCGTTCAGTACGTCGCTATGAAGGAGCTCCGCTACGCCGACATCGAGCCTGCGGTGTACGAGACGCCGTACACAGAGCCAGCTGGTTTGTGTCCGACACTACAACGTTAGATTTATCATTTTTATGAATATCAAACATCAATCCTTGGACGACTTTTGATAGGTACTGACCTCTTCAGACCAGGAACCCCCCACAAGAGCTGCAGGTTTG